TTGCTGCCTCCTGCAGATGAGTACACGGACGCTGTGTCTCGCTACTTCGCTTCAGCCCCGGACGCAGGACGGGCGAGGGGGTCTCCGGCACATGTGGGTTCCCGGCTGTGCCTGAGGTCCCCCCCCAGGTCGTCCCGGCCTTCAGATTTGGCCGGTGAGTGAGTGGAGCGGCTGAGGAGGGCAGGAGGGCCGGGGCTCTCCAGCATCACCCCCTCCCTGCACCCACCCTGTGAGCCGCGGGCTGCGCCTGCCCTCCCCCAGCCCTCCGGCCCCACGCCTGCTGGCTCCAAGGTCCACCCGTCCACGCCCCGTACTTGTGCTCCTGCAGGGGTGAGGCCGTGAGGGCCCCGGGTGCCGAACAGACGCCGTGACTGGCTCCTCCAGCATCGGCAGGATGAGGACCGGGCAGCGATCACGCGAGTCAAACAGCCCTGGAAAGTCCTCAGAGCGCCCACAGGCCAGAGTACCGTGCGGGGGGCACCAGCGCTGGGGTCCCATCGTCAGAGACGCGGTCACACTTCCTTCTGTTTAAACGTCAAGCCCAGGGGCAGGCGGGCAGCACAGTGGGCACCGCGGGGACGTGAGGACTGCGGACCCCAGCCCAGCCCCGCCGCTCTGCACCTGCGCACGGCCTCGCGGTCAGCCAGCACGCTTGCGGCTGCACACCCCGCCTGCTGCCCACGGCGGACGGAAGGCGCGTGCGCGCGGGTCAGGGTTTCCCAGCCTCTGTGTACGGGACGTCTTGGGGGGGTTGTGCACTCTCCGGCCTCCAGGCTCTGACCCTGCCCAGAACCCCCCACCCCTGACCCAGCAGCCCCGTGGCCTTCATTCCGCTCGCCCGCCGCAGGGCGCCGGAGCCAGGCCTCTAACACACGGTTTCTAATCCAGAACATGACTAACGATCATTCCTCTGCGTCTGCTGGCTCCGCTCTAGCGGGGGAGCTGGCCTGGACCAGCAGCTTCTGTGCCCGAAGAACCTGAAACAGAAGTAGGTGTTTTCTCCTCCCCTGCACCCCCACCCGCTGCCTTTGGGTCTTTATTTTTCTCCCAACGTCTCCTTGTGTCCTCCTCTGTTTCCTCTGTGGCCGGAGCAGGCCCTCAGCGGGTCCCTTCCTGTCTCGTCCTCAGAGAAATCCCTCAAAAGTACCGAAATAACCTTCGCTTTCTGACCCTCCACCACTGGGTCGGAGGGCGACCGCGGGTCATCGCCAGACGACGTCTGTGAATCCCGGACGTTTCCCTGAACCCCGTGAGTCCCACTGTCTCCAGGACTTTCCCAGAGAAGAGCCGGGTTATATGGAAACCCCGTGTCCTGGCCGTTCGAGTGATTGATTGATTGATTGATTAGATCATGCATTCGCCAACCCAGCGTCCCCGCTCTGTGGAGCTCTGTCCACTACCCCAAAGAGCCTACGCTATTCGTGGTGCCAAAGCTTGGGATGGGTCACGGGCGCTGGTGGCAGGGCCACATCCCACACGGCCCCCAGAGCTGTGCCCACAGCATCCCTGAGGCTCCAGGAGGCCACGTGGAGATGCAGCTTTCTCCCTCGGGCCTCAGGACCCGGCCACAGAGCACGCAGTCTTCCCCGTAAGGCCAGGAACTGTGGTCGCCCCTTCGCCCCACGGCTCCTGACCAGTCCCGGCGCCCGGACGCGTCCTGACCCTGTGTGGAGGGGGGGCTCTGGCCTGTCCGCTCACACCCGCCGGCGCCGGTGCCCAACATCTGCCCCCCCCCCGGGGCCTGCGAGCCGCCTCCAGACGTGCCCTGGGGACACAAACACAGAGTGGGGCCTCCCGCCCCCCACGCAGGAGCAAAGTGCCTCGGGAACACCGCACCCGAGTCCCCTCCCGCTCCCATGGCTGGAGCCTGGCCCACACGCGTGTCCTTCCTGGGGCACCCCTGTGGCGGCTCCGAGCTGGGGTTGGGAGAAGCCATCCCCGCCCCCACGCACAGCCACCCTGGGCGCCCACGAGGGGAGGGCAGCCTCCTGCCGGGTGGTCTCACGGGCTCCTGTCCGCGTGGGAACGTGTTCCGGGCTTGTCTATCACCGTGAGCACGTTGCCGTGGGCTGTTACTCAGTGGATCCCCACGCCCTGAGCGGCCCCACCCGGCCCTGCTGGAGGAACAGACGCCCGGGACGGCGTAATCCTGCTGCGGGACAATAATCCGGGAAGACTGCAGCCATAGGAGCAGAGGCGGCGGCGCTCACGGGTGACGTGAGGCCTCTGAGGCGCGTCCCTGAGTCCAGGCCAACCAGGCGCAGCGACAGGAGTGTCCTGGGTCTACCTGCAGGACTAGGGGGCCTCACGGTGCCCCACGCATCTTCTCGGGGAGACATCGGTCCCCGACGGCCTTCACCTGTCTCCCCTTCGGCCCCCACCGCCTGCTGAACCTTCCAGGTCCACGCCCGTATCTGCGTGTGCCAGATGCCGACTCCACCCGTGTCCCCAGAGGGAGATCCGATGCCCGGACCTGTGACCTCTGGAGACCTGCATGCTCAGGGGAGACCCGCAAACCCCCAAAATCCAACACAGATCGCGTGGCTGTCCCGGGTAACAACACTCCTGGTCCCTGCCCACTTCCAGGGCACAGCTCGGGGGTCAGGGGTCCTCGCGCCACCGCCCCACCCCACGACCTCCGTGCCTGTCCCTCAGCCCCAGCTGGGGGTGCTGAGTGACTCGGGGGTTCCCCTTGCCTGCCCTGGCCCTGCCCCGTGTCCCCTCTGTCCCCCTACCTGCCTGCCCGACCTGTCACCTGCGGGCCGTCTGCTGCTCCAAATTCCCGGTCCCCAGGACGGCAGGTGCGCGTGGGGACCTCCTGTGGGTGGACACTCAGGGGGCTGCCCCACGTGGGACGTCCTCGCCGTGGGGAACGCACACCCGCACCTTTGTGTTTCTGTCTGTGCAGCTGAGGGAAGAGGTGGGGGTGCAGACCCCAGAGCCTCCCCGACAGGCCTGTCTCATGATGCGCCTCTGTCCTTCCACGCGGCACCCCAGCTCCCGGCCCAGTGCCCGGTGAGCGGGGACAGCCTCCTGCGCGGCGCACTCGCTCTGCCCTGCTGCCTCCCCACCATTTCCGTGTGCAGCAGAGTCACAGCCTGTCTTGGACGGGGCCGCCCCATGTCAGCCGCTGCCAACCCTGTGGACCCTCTGCCGACCCCACAGAGCCCCTGCCGACCCCGACAGACCCTCTGCCCGCTCCGTGGACCCTCTGCCGACCCCGACGGACACTCTGCCCGCCCCGTGGAGCTGCTGCCGACCCTGATGGACCCTCTGCCCTCCCCGTGGAGCCTCTGCCGACCCCGACGGACCCTCTGCCTGCCCCGTGGAGCCGCTGCCGACCCGGCGTGACTGCAGGAAGACTCCGGTGGGACGGCTGCGCTCTTTCCAGACACATGAACCACCATCTCCCCCAGGCCACACTTCTCTGGGCGATGGGCCTTGATCTAGTGGCGGAGACGTGGCCCATGTTCCGTCCGCTCTGGGGGAGGGAGACTGTGGAGACCCCGGGGTCTCCTGCGCGGCCGTGCGGCGCCCCCCGTGCGCTCTCAGAGCCGGCTTTCTCAGGTGCAGTTAGCTGCCCTGTGGCCCCGGGTCGTCCCTGCGGCCTCCGCCCGTGGCCACTGCTGTCCGCCCCCCACACGCCCCCCAAGCCCAGCATCTTCCCGGGCCGGGGGCTCTGTCCTGGCTTCTGCCCAGGGCAGGTGGCGCGACCCGCGGGGATCCTCAGCAACACACGTCGGAATTGGAAAGTGCGTGCGCCCTCCGACCCCTGGCCTGCAGCACCCTCGGAAGTGTTCCAAGGCGGCGAGCAAGGGCCCTGCTGGTCGGAAACTAGCTGGAAAGTGCCCAGATGCAGGCAGAGGAGCCGGGACGAGCCTCCGAGCCTTCGGGAGACGGGGGCAGAGGGGACTGCACAGCACCCGGCGGCGGGCGAAGCCCCTCTCGCCCTGGACGACGGCTCCGTGGGGGCCACGCGCTCTCCATAGCGCCCTGAACGGTCCTTGGTCTCGCCACGCCAGCGTATTTACTTCTACAACGTAACAACTAAGGGTGGATTGTTCTAAAATAAGATAGGGGTTTAAACACCAAAATGAGCTTAAATGTGCCCCTCCTGCTCTTGGACGGATCCCGGAGCACTTGCAGCCACATGGGGCTCCGAGCAGGACGGGGCGGCCCCCCCTCGGCCCACCCCAGGGACGCGCCCGGCCCGCGGCCCCCCAGGGCGTCCAGCTACGTCCTCTGTGTGTCCTGCGCCTGCCTCTCCTCCCAGGGACCTCACGCATCCCCCCCACGTGGCAGGGATGCGGCTGGGAGGACGGGGGAGCCAAGAACCGGGCCGCCGCTCTGCGTGGTCGGCATGGCGTGGGAGCATCCACCGCGGGCACATCGGACCTCAGCCAAACCCCCACCCTACGGGCGCATCAGCGGACATCACACACGCGGTGCCCCCCGCCTCCGAGCCAGGCCGACACCCCTGCCTGGGCATGTGGCTCGCAGCCCCGGGCACCGCGCTGTGCATGGGGACGCTGGTGGGGGGCGCTGGGCTCCGGGACTTCTGAGGGTGACGTGCTTGCGGGAGGTGACGGGCCCTCCAATGGCGCGGGGACCACCCGGGAGGCCCGGCGGGCACGGCCACAGCCACGTCCCGGGACAAAGGCCTGGAGGACACCCTGGGCCTGGCGGGGAGGCCGGTGGAGCCGCGTGGCCCTCCCCGACGTGTGGCCCGCCCTGTCCCCGCAGCGGGGAGCTGCTCCCGCCCAGGCCTCCCACCGCTGGGCGCTTTCGAGCCGCCGCCTCCACCCCCGTAAATCTGCCAAGTGATGACAGCGGGCTGAGGGCTGGGGCCGCGGCCTGAGCGATCCTCCTTCTGCCGGAGCCCTCCCTGGACGCCCCCCACCCCACCGACGCTCCCCCACCTGCGGCTCGGCCTGGGCCGCGGGACCCTCGGAGCCGCCGGAGGGCCGGGGAAGGGCCTGCTGGCCGGGCCGGGAGCCCACATGGTGTTTTATCGTCTGTCCTCAGCCTCCAGGTGGGCCTGTGATCCCGGCTACGGGCCCGCAGCTGAGCAAACAGTGGCGGGGCCCTGGGGGCTCCGGGGCCGCAGAGCTCAGCCCACACGGACACCAAAGCCCCGGCCTGCTGGGCCCCCCGCGGCCTGGCCCTGCGGGGAGTCTCACGCGGCCACGGCGAGCGGCGCGCCCCTCGGGCCGGCGGGGAGCAGTGGGCAAGGCCGTGAGGTCCCCCCCCACCCCGCCAGGGTCCCGGCCTCAGCCTCCTGGACCCAAGCTCTGCGGCCCCAGCTCGGCCGTCCCCGAATACTGTGTCCCCACGACGCCGTCCTGCCTCCCGCGGGCCCAGCAGACACGTGGATCGGCGCCGCGTCCGAGGGTCGGGCTCGGGGCCACACGCTCCTCCGCGGAAGCCGAGCCCGGGCTGTGCGCGCCGTGAAGGCCGTGGGCAGAGGGACCCAGGGCTTCCAGCTGCAGGAGGGGCCGGGGCAGGGGCCGCGCAGGGGGAAGGTGAGCGGGGAAGCCGGAGGCGAGGCTGTGCTGCAGGCGCGGCCCCTCCGGCTCCCGAGAGCTGACGTCTCCCTGGGGCCATGCAGACAGCGGTGCTGGGACACCCCCCGGCCTCCTGTTCCTGGCGGGCGGGACCCCGTCCTGTGCAAAACCTGTCCTGGCGTTTGTGAAGCAGGAGGCCGCCTGGCAGCGTCCTTTGGGGTCGGGGTGGATCGCGGGCCTGACGAGCACCTGCACGGCCCTGCCCCTCCGGGCACACAGCTCCTGCCCACTTGGTGCGGGGCGAGGGGGGGGGCTGCCGTGATTCTTTATGGGGCACCCATAAAGCAGGTGGCTGGGGGCAAACCTCCTGGAACACAGCAGCCCTCCCCCCCCCCATGGCTCCGCTCTGGGGCCCTCTGGGGGTCCCCACCCCCGTCCCCATGCCTGATGAGCCTCTGCAGGAAGGAGCAGGACCGAGGCCCCTGGGGGTCCCCACCTCGAGCCTGTGCCGATGAGGGTCCGCAGGAGGGCCCGGATCTCAGGCCCAGGCCTGGCGGGGGAGGGGGTCCCACAGGCCGAGCCCATGCAAACCCCTGGAACAGACACGGCTCCGTGGGAAAGAGGGAACGTGAGTGTGAAGACCTGAGCACACGGGAGTCACTCGCCCAACGACAATCTCACCCGGTGGCCGTGAGCCGCCCCCGCGTGGGGGTGCCCGGTCCCGCCCCACCGCCGCAGACGCTGGCTCCAGCTCCCCAGCTCCGCTTCAACACAGCAGGGATCAGGGGCGCAGGTGCAGAGGCTCAGGCCCCAAAGTCCCAACTGGGCCTCACGACCCGGCCGCGAGGGCCCCGGGGCTGCTGGCTGCATCCGCTGGTGCAGGGGAGCTCACGGCAGGGATTCGCGTGCCACCACGTGGGCTTGTCCGCGTGTGAGCGTGTGCGGGTGTGAGCGTGCAAACACTGGGGTGTGTTTACGGTGTGCTGTTTGCTGGTCAGCCTTGCCCTCGGGGTCCAGGACTTGAGCCCAGGAACGTTGGGATGCGCCCAGATGGAACCTTCTGGAGCCCGGGCACCCGGGGGCCACCATGCAAACTTGCTGCCCCTCCCGCAAGAGTCAGGTCTTTCCTGGACATCACGGGAGCTGTCGGGCGTGGGCAGAGGGCAGGTGGGGTGAGCCCACATGTGCCGGGCGCCCCAACCCCGTGGAGGGCGAGGCTGGTCCAGGCCAGCAGCCCCCGGGCCCCCCACACCCAGGATGAGCTGCGGTCTCTGGGGGGACCTGTGGGGCTTCTGAGGGACCCGCCCCGCACCCCGGGCAGCCTGCCTGTGACGGGGACGCCCCGGCCCTGCCGGCCACGCCGCTGCGCCACTGGAGCTCTTCTGTGGGCGTCGCCACATCTGCGGACAGGAAGCCCCTCCTGCGGCAGCTGCTGACCTGCCTGCTGGACCCCGTCCCCCCTCCACCCCCCTCCCCTCCCCCTCCCCCCCCACCTGTGCACCCGTGTGCCCAAGCTGTTAACCCCTCGAGGCCGCGCAGCCCCAGGGACTGGCCTGAGCAGCCCGGCTGGGGACCCGCCTGGGGAGGGACGGTGTGGTGGGGGCACCCGCACTCGCTGGGGCGAGGACCGCTGCGTGCTGAGCACCTGCCGTGCCGCCTCTCAGGGTGTCAGCCGCGCTCTCCTGACTGAAGCATCCCGCCCCACAAACAGGTGAGTGCCGGTGGGCACCCTCTGTCCCGGCCCCGCTCTGCCTGCAGGTTCCGGGCCGGGAAGCGTTTGCAGCGTCGGTGACACCCCCGCGGACGGAGAAGCAGGATGACGCCCCTGAGCCCACCGAGCCCTGGCGCCCCGGGGGCCTGAGGTCCTTGGCTCTGAACGGTCAGCGGGAACCGCGAGAAACGTGCTCAGGCATCCCAGGTAGGATGTGCAGGTGCCCGTGGGGTGAGGCCCAGGGTCCTGCCTTCCCAGCACAGGGGGGCGGGGGGGGGGTGGCTCAAGGTCGCGGCCTTGGCGCTCAGCTCGTCACACCCAGCCCCACGGAGACCAGAGTCCCCAGTGCGGGGCGGGGCCCGGCCACCACCTCCGACCCAGCGGGCCCGCAGCAGGCCCACCCCGGCCCCCCGATGTCCGCCCCGGATGCTGGCACGTGAGCAGCTTCCCGAGGAGCAGCCACTTCTCGCCCCTGTTGGGACGACTTCCTGCCAGGGGTTGAAGGGCTGGGAGAGCCCCGGGAAGATCCACAGCTCACGGGACCCCCTGGTTTGGCCCTAAACCCTCAGGCGCGTTTGGAGGGACGGGGCGGCAGGCTGGTCCACGGCCAGGGCGCAAGCCGCCTCCTCACGGGGCCTCGGGAGCCACCCAGGGGAGGGCGGCGCAGGGTCAGGCCAGGACCGGGACCCACGGGGCAGAGGGGCGGCCCCGGGCCCTCGCAGGGCACCTTCATCCAAAAATCTTTCGGATTTGACTCACCTCGATTCTTAGCCTCGGGGTGTCTTTGTTCTGTCCATGGCAGGTCCAACTTTCTCTTCTCCGAGCCCACAGGCTGGCGCGAACCTCACACTAGTCCCCCCTTCGTGGCATCTCCGTTCATGGGACACGTCGCGAGCCTGAGACGCGCCCCCGAGGCTGCTCCGTCCCCACGAACACGGGATCCACCGTCACACGTGGGGGCACCCGTGGCGGGTCCTGGCCTCACCGGGCGGCCGTGCTCAGGGCCCCAGCTGGCTCCCGTCCTCGGGGACGCCCTGCCCCGTCCCACAGCGGCCGAGCCCCGCACCCTGGCCCCGGGGTGAGGTGCCCAGCGGCTGGGAGGACCCCGCGGCCCGAGGGCTGCTCCTAACATGCTTTTCATTTGGTTTCAAGAGGCCTGTCGGGCACATTGTTCGCCAGAGACCCACCGGTGATCGAAAACACATTTACCGGACTGGCTCTGTGCAACCAGAGAAGTGTCTTGTGCAGAGAAAAACCTCAAGAAATGTGTTTCTTATAATCAATTAGTATTAACTGAGCGGAATAATAACGACGGTACTAGGTCAAGATGCAACACATGCGGCGGGATCTTGCGCGTCTCCGGGGCGACGGTGGGAACCAGCGAGTAACCCCCCGGGGCTGGCGGCCTCTGCGCCGGGCGCAGGGGGGCGGGGGTGGCTCCACGGAGGACGCGCCAAGGGGCAGCCCCCAGCCGGGGAGGACGCCCTGCCACGCCCCTGCCACCCCTCCGTCCCACGTGCGGCCCCCGCACAGGCACCCGCGAGGATGAGGCCGCAGACGTGCAAGGGGCTGCATGTCTCCTGCCACACGCCCATCGGGGCAGGCGCTGTGTGTGCATTGGGGTCGGTAACCGGGTCGGGCTGTGTGACCCGCCGAGCGGAACGGGCCCTCCCGCCTGCAGAACCGGGTGTGTCCTGGGTCCCCGAGGCCAGCAAACAGGCACCGCGGCGCTCCGGGGACGTGGCCTGAACTACACACCTGCCTTGGGCTAAACACGCGTCCTCCAGGGACCGAGAGCCGCCCCACGGCGTGACAGTGACGCACCCCACGGATGCCACAGCGTCCCTCCCCCGCGTGACCGGGGGCCAGCCGGTCACCTCCCCTCCGCCCCACACCGTCCCTCCTGCCCTCCTGCGGCAGGACCCCGGGCCTCAGCCTGGACTGGAACCTGAGCACCAACCCCCCGGGGCCTCGCCGGGCCCCCCAGGCCCCCAACCCCGCGCTGACCGGCTGGGCACTGCCCCCGGGCCCGACTCTGCTCCCACCGCAGCCCTCGCCGTCCAGGGTGCCTGCTGTCCCCAGGGCCTCGTTCAAATGGCTCTCAGCTCCCGGACAAATTCGGCCGTGGTCCTGGGTCCCCGTCACAGTCTCGGAGGAGAACGGGACCCCGCGAAGTCAGGCCGCAGCCGGTTATGTTTGACACAAGGACCTGGTCTTGTTGCACGTGGTGGAGACGCGTGTGCAGCATGTGCCAACGCGGCCGCCCTGGACCCCAGATGGAGGGCGGTCCCCACCAGCTCAGCTTGCAGAGGATGACGGGTGACCCAGAAGGGCTCCCCATGTGCACGATGCCCTCCACGCCTGAGACTAATGACGAGCTGGGGGCGTCGGGGCCATGTCAGGGCCACAGTCTGCAGGCGGCGTCACCATCCCCCCGCCCGGGGACACGTGGCTGCCCTGCCTGCACACGCGGGTGTCCTGTCTCCACATGCAGCTCCCCTTCCTGCACACACGACACCCCTGCCTGCACACGCGGCTGCCCTGTCTGCACATGACTTCCCTGCCTGCACACACGGGGACCATGTTTGCACACAGCTGCCCTGTCTGCACACGCATCTGGGCGAGTCCACAGGCTGCGCTCAGGCACAAAGCCGGGGAGACAAGTGGGTGTGGGGGAAATCCCCACGGGGCCCCTCGGCACCACGGGAGTGACGTCTCCACGGCCTGATTCTCCCTAAGTCTCCCCTCATTCCCCAGGAGCAAGACCAAGGTGGGTGGGGGGTGCCGAGGGCGGGGTCCCGGGGGAAGGCGTCGTGTGGCTGCAGATAAGGCGTCGGGCTTTGCAGACCTGCCTGGACCTACCCGGGCTGACCTGCCCAGTGTCCCAGGCGGCACCCGGGGCCCACGGGCCTCATCTGACCCGGTCACCTCCCCCGGGACCTCACCTCCAAACAGCGGCACGTGGACCCTGCAGGACGCAGTCAGGCCGCAGCCGTGGGGACAGAGGGGGACGGGGCGGGGCCCACGGGTGCCCCACACGGGTGGGCGTCCGAGGTCCGGGCCTGGGCAGGCGGCTGGGGTCAGCACCAGGAGGTCCCGGGACAGGCCACTCGCTGACCCCTGAGGACGGGGCCTCCCACCTCCAGGGCGGGGGCAGGGAGGCTGCAGGGACGCGCGTGCTGGCCGGTGGCCGTGGGACCCCCCACTGCGTTCCTGGCCCCGGGCGGCTTTCGGGGCCAGCTGTCTGACGCCCCGGCCCCGTGGGACGGCCTCCCGGCTGTGTCTGTTCCTGCGGCGGCAGACAAGGGGGGCTCGGAGCGGGGGGCGGCCGGGACAGGCGGGGGGGGCGAGGGGCAGTCCCAACGCCGCGCCCAGGTCGCCCTGCGGTTTAGACGCTGCCACGCTAGGAAGCCCGGCAGACAAGCTTCTCAAAAGAAAAAGACAAGATGTTCCTCCGACCTCAGAAGTGGTTTTCGGTTGTTTAATTTTTCCTGGCCAGGGTTCAGGGGTGAAAGGTCGGGGTCTCCTCCTCCACTTCAATCCGCCGGTCTTGGTTCTCATGACGCCGTTGAGAAAATGCTCTGGGACGATTTTAGAACTTGATGAAGCCTCCTGGGTTTTGAATTCTGGACTCATCAGGACTATTTTGGAGTTTGATTTGGTTTATTCTCAAGAGAAAACAAAGCCCAGTTTCCTGTTTTGAAATAAATTCTTTCATAAACTTCGCGGAGACAGCTCACGCTCTCCCGGAGCGGCAGGGAGGGGCCTGAGGAAGCCCGGGGCGTCTGCAGACCACGCCCGTGACGCCCCGTCCCCACGCTTGTGCCAGAGCAGATGGGCAAGGGCAGTGGGGGTGCCAGGGGAGCCGCGCCCCCACAGCCCCCCGGGACCCCCGCGGCCCAGCGCCTCGGTCTCGGGGCCGCCCGCGCTGCCTCTGGAGCAGCTGGCTGCTGTGGGGCCCCGCGCTCAGGCATCCAGAGCCTGCAAGGTCTGGGGCCATGCCCATTTTAGAGACGAGGAGATCGAGTCCCAGGGGCTCTCTGAGGGCGGCTCCTTGTGAAACAGGTGTAGTGGCTGCTTCTGCACATCTTCCACGAATATCAATGGACAAGAGGCTGACGTGTGCAGTGTCCCCCCCACCAGCGGTGGCGAGGTTGCCGGAAGGGGAGAGCAAGCCGCAGGCTGTGGGGGCTGAGTCAGGTCTGGGGCCTGTGACCCGACGCCGGCAGGCAACGCCAGGGGCGCCCCGTGTGCCCAGAGAAGGCCGCCCCCACCTCCCTCCACCTCCCCTCATCTGTGGCCGGGCCCAGCAGCACACGGGTCGGCCTCACGTCCCAGAAGGAGCGTCCAGGACACCGTGGCCGCCACTTCTGCTGCCTCCTCCGGTGTCGCCCGGCCGGTGCACAGCCCGTCCCATGGGGGAAGGTCAACCTGCCGAGGCCCGAGCCCCAGAAGTAGCCTTGTGAGGCCGGCGCAGGAGCGAGGGGGCAGTGCTGCAGCGTCTCGGGCCCAGGCTGCCTTCATGCCCCGCGGGGATGTGCCAGGAGACACACCCGGCAACTAGCGGGGCGGGGGGAGGGGAGGGAGGGCCACTCAGAGGACAAATTCCATCAACCTCATGGGAGCCCACCCCGCCGTGTGGACGCGCCCTCGGAGCAAACAAGGGTCCTGTTGTGAGCGCGCCGACCCAGCGCCCTGCAGCCTGAGCCCAGCGGCGGCCTCGGGCAGAGGACACGCACAGCGCGGCCTGGTCCTTAGAAGTCCGAGGCGGGCCTGCTGGCCACGGGCAGCGCCACCTCAAGTCGAGGCTTTCATGAAGTCGCCTGTGAGGGAGAGGTGGGGCGGCCTCGCTGCACAGATGGCTCTTTGTCCCTGCTGACACCTGCCATCTGCTTGTTTGTCTAAATGATGCTGGAGGGGCAGGGGGCTCCCAATCTGCTGCTGGGCCCCTCCCGCCTGCAGCGACCTCCTGACCCCTGGGCCGGGCAGGTCCACAGAGTTTGTTCTTCCTGCACAACGGCCGCTCCCTTCCCCAAGCCCAGCACTCCTCAGCACTAGAGCTCAGTGCCAGGGCCGCAGGGGGGAGGGAGAGGGGAAGGGGAGGAGGAAGTGAGGGAGGAGGGGGAGGGAGATGGGCAGGGGGAGGGAGGCAGGAGGGGGAGGAGGAGGGTGAGAAGAGGGGGGGAGGGAGAGGAGGAAGTGAGGGAGGGAGAGGAGAGGGGAAAAGGAAGGGGGAGGCAGGGCCAGGAGCAGGAGAAGGAGCAGGAGGAGGAGCAGAGGCAGGAGGAGGAGGAGGAGGAGGAGGAGGAGAAGCAGCAGCAGGGGGGGGAGCAGGAGCAGCAGTAGGAGGAGGACTAGGAGCAGGAGGGGGAGCAAAGGCAGGAGGAGGAGCAGGAGGAGGAGAAACAGGAGAAGCAGGAGGAGCAGCAGCAGCAGGAGGAGGAGCAGGTGGAGGAGGAGCAGCAGGAGGAGGAGAAGCAGTGGCAGGAAGAGCAGCAGGAGCAGCAGCAGGAGGAGGAGGAGCAGGAGCAGCAGGAGCAGCAGGAGGAGCAGCAGGAGGAGCAGCAGCAGCAGGAGGAGCAGCAGGAGGAGCAGCAGGAGCAGGAGGAGCAGGAGGAGCAACAGCAGGAGCAGCAGCAGGAGCAGCAGCAGGAGCAGCAGAGGCAGCAGCAGGAGGAGCAGCAGCAGGAGGAGGAGCAGGAGCAGCAGCAGGAGGAGCAGCAGCAGCAGGAGGAGCAGGAGGAGCACAGCAGGAGGAGGAGCAGGAGGAGCAGCAGGAGGAGCAGGAGCAGCAGCAGGAGGAGCAGCAGCAGCAGGAGGAGCAGGAGGAGCAACAGCAGGAGCAGCAGCAGGAGCAGCAGAGGCAGCAGGAGCAGCAGGAGGAGCAGGAGCAGCAGCAGGAGGAGCAGCAGCAGCAGGAGGAGCAGGAGGAGCAGCAGCAGGAGGAGCAGCAGCAGGAGCAGGAGCAGCAGCAGGAGCAGGAGAGGAGCAGCAGGAGCAGGAGCAGCAGCAGGAGGAGCAGCAGCAGGAGCAGCAGCAGGAGAAGCAGCAGGAGAAGCAGCAGGAGCAGGAGCAGCAGCAGGAGGAGCAGGAAAGGAGCAGCAGCATGAGCAGGAGCAGCAGCAGGAAGAGCAGCAGCAGGAGCAGCAGCAGGAGAAGCAGCAGGAGCAGGAGCAGCAGCAGAAGAGCAGCAGCAGGAGCAGCAGCAGGAGAAGCAGCAGGAGCAGGAGCAGGAGCAGCAGCAGGAGCAGGAGGAGCAGCAGCAGGAGCAGGAGCAGGAGAAGCAGCAGCAGGAGGAGCAGCAGGAGGAGCAGCAGCAGGAGCAGGAGGAGCAGCAGGAGGAGCAGCAGGAGCAGCACCAGCAGGAGCCGCTGCCACAGCCCCACGCGTGCTCCTGCCCTGAGAACCAGGCTGGACGCCCCATTTCCTTGGAGCAGCCCCTCCACCTGCGCGGGGCCATGTCCCCTGAGGGGGGCTGTGGCACAGACGGCAGCGCAGCGGCGGGAGCCCCTCCAGGGACGGCCATGGCTCGCCCTGCGTCTCAGGCCGGGTGAGGCGGGAAGGTGTCTTGCCGGGTGGGAAGGCGACACGCCCAGCACCCCGGGACCCCTCTTAAGCCTGAGGCAGGGCTGCGGCCTGAAAGCCCTGCGGGGTGTCCCAGCGGTCCCCTGAGCACTCCCGCAGGGGCAGCACCGCCACCCTGGGCCAAGGTGGAGGCCGCGGCTTGGCGGGGGGGCATTTTCGGGACTCGCCCTCCTGTTCGGGGAGCCTGTCGCAGTCGCGACAGGAAGCTCAGGACCGCGCTTGGCCGTGGGGCCCTAGGCCGGCAGGCCGCTAACCCGTCCTGCAGCAGCGTGAGCGCCGGAAACTGGGCAGCGTCTTCGCGCCCGTGGCCGCCACCCACCGCTGACAGTGGCTCCCGAGCTGGGAGCCGTGATCCTGCTGCCCTGCCCACAGGGCCCTGGTGCCAGGGCTCTGGCCCGGCCCCCCAGGAAGCACGAGGCTGTCGCATGCAGCTCCCCGGGTCGCAGAGGAGCAAAGGCAAGTCGCTGGAGGCCAGAGAAGGAGAGTGTCGCCTGGCCGGCCCGCCCTCGCTCCCCCGGGTCGGCACAGACACCTGAGAGCCTGCGGCTGACGGCCGCCACCTGCTCTGACGCGGCCCCGAGACACACAGACCTGGTGGGGGGCAGTGAGCTACGGGGAGCCCAGCCCTCCCCGTAACCAGCCGTGGGGCCACGCCTGGAGGCCTCCCGGGGACGCCTGACCGGCTCGCGTCCCCGTGGAATACGCGCTCTCTTCTCCCTCGTTTGTCTGATGAAGCAGCGCACGGGTGCGAGACGTGCTGGGGAGGCCTGGGACTGCCACAGCTGGACGCGGTCCCTACAGTGCCCGGGGGAGCTGGGCCTGGTGCCCCACATGTGTCCCTCGGTGTGACTTTGGGCATCTCTATCAAATCCCTCTTCTTTTGGGCCCCAGACCTCTGGGTTGCTTTACCCGTATTTCCAGGCCACCTGCCGGCTTCGCAGTGTGCCTGCCGCGGGGGGACAAAGCCCAGAACGTGGACACATCGGGCCATTCGCAGTAGGACCAGTGTCCCTGCCCCGGGGAGCGGGGGAGCAGGTGCAGGCACGTCTGCAGCCTGTGTCGGGGGCGCAGGGGACACCGTCGGGCACCAGGACAGCGACGTGTGCAAGTGCGAGAAGCTCACCTGCACAGGGCTCAGACACGTGCACCGTCGTTACACAACCGGCGGCGTGTGCTCCGTGGATTTGTTGGGAACTGTGTGGGACCCGCGGTGTCACGTTTGTTCACAGGTTTGCTCGTCCCGAGTTAGGATGTGTCCATCGTGGTCGCCGGAGCGTCACGGGGAGGCCTGCTGGGCGGCAGCCGCTCGGGAAGGAGCGAGCGCTCACATGGCGCATCCGGAGTCGCCCCCAGCGTGCGTCCCGGGGGGTGAGCACGAGCCCAGAGCCTGGTCCCTGGTCGTCCCCACACACAGAGACGTGGCTAACCGGGGTGTGACCTTTCCCGGACCTTCGGGGTCGCTGGGGATTCTGAGCTCTGGCCATGGGGTCGTATCCGGAGAACACGACCTTACCCCCGAACACTTAGGTCCAGCCGCCCGCGTGTGCGCTCCCGGGAGCCCAGCCAGGCCTGGGGACGAAGAGCCGCAGAGGCCGTGGGGTCGTGGGCCGCGCGGACAGCGGGCGGGGGCCGACGGGGGGTGGCCGGCCCCGTGGGTCTCCACTGGCCGGCTCCCGGGCCGGGGCCTAGCGCTGCCCCGCGCCGGGCACCCCCGGCCCCGCCAGCCCGTCCTCGAGCCCCAGACTCCTCGCCTCCGTCCTCCGCTCCCACCGTGTTTTCCACAGTTCCTGCTTCACACAATATTTATGGTCTTTGTTCCGCTTCGGCTCCGTGTCCCAACCGCAGCGTGACTTTCTCAAGAGCCAGGATCCTGTTTCGCGCACACATGCCTGGCCCAGCAAGGACATCAATAAATACGCGTCCCACAAAGGAGCCGCGGTGACTCGGTGGCCTGTCCTTGTCTTTGTGCGAAACCCTGTCTTTATCCAAGAATAAAAGACGTTTGGGTTGAAACGCTTCGTGAACTTCTCCACGGCTGGGCTCTCGCAAGATCGCGGCGCTGCGTTGTGGGCGACCCACTTTTCCTCCTCAGGCCCGGGACGGCAAGAGGCTATTGTGGAGACTCGGCCGTGAATCAGTCTTTCCATTTGCGGAGAATAGAAAACAGGTTCAGTAAATCGTCCAAGACGTCGCTGGTGACCGGGACGTTAATCGCATTTGCATTTTCAATGAAGTGTTTCCAACTGTCCTCATACTAATTAGTTACATTTGCGGCAGGCCTGGGGGTGCCTTGCGCCGAGGAAACCTCACAACGGACGGAGGCGACCTGCTCCCGTGGGAACGAGGGGCCGGACCACCCAAGGGAGCCGAGGCCACGGGGCCAGGTGCGGCCGGGAGGGGGACACCTGCGCGGCCCGCGACCTGGGGCAGGAGGGCCTGTCCCTCCCCCCCACTGCAGCCGGGCGTGTGTCCACCAGACGCGCCGTCACCTGTCCCCCGCTGCCCTGAGGCCCCTGCGCCAGCTCCTGTCGGGATGGGGCTGTTGCAGGAGGCGCCAGGAGGCCACGGGGCACAGACGCGCTCCCTCCCCAGGATGCTCAGGGTCCGGGCGGACGCCAAAGGCGGTGCGGGAGGGAGGGCGCCGGCGGCGTCGAGATCCACATCCGTTGGACCAGGGGCACATCTGGGGAACGCCGCGGGTGGGCGCGGAGCCGCAAGAGGCCTGACTAGGACCAGGACCGGGGTGTAGGGCTCTGCTGCAGAGGCCCAGACTGGGGGGCTGGCCTGGGGGTCGGGGTCGGGGAGGCCAGGTGGTGGCAGCCGTGCAGAAACAGCAGCGCTAGGGAGGGCGTCGGTGCCATGCAGCAGGGCTGCGCAGGGCCCGGGGTGGGGCTGGCGGCTGCATGGACGCGGCCAGGGCCCAGGGAGCGGGCATGCCTGGGATGGGGTGTGGGATGGCGACACGGGAGCCCCGGCCCCGGCTGGGTGGCCGCCACACCCAGAGGTTGGAGAGCCGCCCCCAAGGAGGCCCCGTCTACACTGACTCCCCCGGGACTCGGCAGGGGCCTGCTTCTCCCCGCAGCCCCGGCAGAGCCCCACCTGACTGCGAGCAGCCACGACGCGCCCTCGCCTGCCTGCCTGGGGTCACTAGCCGCCGGCTGGGGGGGCCATGCGCCCCATGAGGAAGCCAGATGTGAGGCGGCCGGCCCCTGTCCTGGGTTCCAGATCCTGGGTCCTGGGTCCTGGGTCCTGGGTCCTGATCCCGGGTTCTGGGTCCCAGGTCCTGGGTTCTAGGTCCCAGGTCCCAGCTGCCTCACGGGAGCTACTGCACCCAGCAGGGACCGAGTCGTGGCTCCGACGCCCCGGCCTGCTCACCACAGCTGCACGGCCACGGCGCCAACACGAGCGGCTTTCACGCACAGGCCAGGCCCGTTCGCGTTTCCTTTTCCCACGTTTTTATTCAAAAGGCTTTCCAGACTTTGCTATAAAAAACTGCCATGAACAGTTGCACGTGCTGCAGAGGCAGAGCCGGGCACGGGGCCCCCCACCCGCAGGGCTGGTAGGGGTGGACGGTGCTCAGTGGGGGCCGCTGGCGGGTCCACAGCTCGCCGGGCCCGAGTGACCGCAGCCGTTGCCGGTGGTCCATGTCCCGAGGCCCAGGACCTGGCACTCGGCTGTCCCGGCCACATGCTGCCCGCCTGGAGCACGTGGGTGGTCTGCACCGATGAGCCTCTTGGAAGCCGCTGCGTGTGCCGCGAGACCAGCCAAATCGGGAACCGAGTCCAGGGCGGAGAGAGGATAACCAAAGTTTTGAATAAAAGCACGCCCGTGACGTGGAAGTACGTGGCGCCCGTGACGTGAGAGCCTTCCCTGCCGCCGCGGAGCAGGCCCCGGGGAGGGGTGGGAGTGGCAGGCCGAGCGCGTCTGTCCCTGGCGCCCGCTGCGTGGGCCCCAGGACATCGGGACAGGAGGCATCGAGGTCCCTGCAGGACAAACACCGCGTGGTATCAGTGACCTGCTTAAAACACCGGGAGTTACTGCTGATTCTCCACCTGCGCAAGAAAGCGGAGGCAAGAGGCCTAGATGGGAAAGTTGATTTATGTAGACGTTTTTCAATATTAAAAATACCATTTTAATGTATATTAAATCTGTGACGTCTATCCTACAGGGACTTGAAACTCTGTGTCTGTGACACACCTAAGTATTTGGGTGGAGGATTTTTTATTAATTTCTGAGTCAGTTTAAAGACCCACAGACAAACCCACGCCACCGCCGGGAGCCCTGCACACCCACAGCACCCGCAACAACGCCGCTGCGTCCCGTGCACCGACCGCACCTGCTCCACGGTTGTGTGCGCGGCTGCATGTGCGGCTGTGTGAACGGCTGTGTGAGCGGCTGTGTGCGCGGATGTGTGTGAGCGGCTGTGTGTGCGGCTGTGTGAGTGGCTGTGTGTGAGCGGCTGTGTGTGAGCGGCTGTGTGTGCGGCTGTGTGAGCGGCTGTGTGTGCGGGTGTGTGTGAGCGGCTGTGTGTGCGGCTGTGTGTGCGGCTGTGTGTATGGCTGTGTGTGAGCGGCTGTGTGTGCGGCTGTGTGAGCGGCTGTGTGTGCGGGTGTGTGTGAGCGGTTGTGTGTGAGCGGCTGTGTGTGAGCGGCTGTGCGTGTGCGGCTGTGTGAGCGGCTGTGTGTGCGGGTGTGTGTGAGCGGCTGTGTGTGAGCGGCTGTGTGTGAGCAGCTGTGTGTGAGCGGCTGTGTGTGAGTGGCTGTGCGTGTGCGGGTGTGCGTGAGCGGCTGTGTGAGCGGCTGTGTGTGTGCGGCTGTGTGTGCGGCTGTGTGTGAGCGGCTGTGCGTGTGCGTGTGCGTGTGCGGTGTGCGTGAGCGGCTGTGTGAGCGGCTGTGTGTGTGCGGCTGTGTGGGCTGTGTGTGAGCGCTGTGTGTGCGTGCTGTGTGTGAGCGTGTGCTGTGCGTGTGCGTGAGCTGTGTGAGCGGCTGTGTGAGCGTGTGTGCGGCTGTGTGTGCGGCTGTGTGTGAGCGGCTGTGTGTGCGGGTGTGTGTGTGCGGCTGTGTGTGAGCGGCTGTGCGTGTGCGGTGTGTGTGTGCGGCTGTGTGTGCGGCTGTGTGTGAGCGGCTGTGTGTGCGGGTGTGTGTGTGCGGCTGTGTGTGAGCGGCTGTGCATGTGCGTGGCTGTGTGTGAGCGGCTGTGCGTGTGCGGGTGTGCGTGAGCGGCTGTGTGAGCGGCTGTGTGAGCGGCTGTGTGAGCGGCTGTGTGTGCGGGTGTGTGTACGGCTGTGTGTGAGCGGCTGTGCGTGTGCGGGTGTGCGTGAGCGGCTGTGTGAGCGGCTGTGTGAGCGGCTGTGTGTGAGCGGCTGTGTGTGCGGCTGTGTGTGCGGCTGTGTGTGAGCGGCTGTGTGTGCGGGTGTGTGTGTGCGGCTGTGTGTGAGCGGCTGTGCGTGTGCGGGTGTGTGTGTGCGGCTGTGTGTGAGCGGCTGTGTGTGAGCGGCTGTGCGTGTGCGGGTGTGCGTGAGCGGCTGTGTGAGCGGCTGTGTGTGTGCGGCTGTGTGTGCGGCTGTGTGTGCGGGTGTGTGTGAGCGGCTGTGTGAGCGGCTGTCTGTGAGCGGCTGTGTGTGAGCGGCTGTGTGTGCGGGTGTGTGTACGGCTGTGTGTGAGCGGCTGTGTGTGCGGGTGTGTGTGAGCAGCTGTGTGTGCGCGGTTGTGTGAGCGGCTGTGTGAGCGGCTGTGTGTGCGGCTGTGTGTGCGGCTGTGTGTGAGCGGCTGTGTGTGCGGGTGTGTGTGTGCGGCTGTGTGTGAGCGGCTGTGTGTGCGGGTGTGTGTGAGCAGCTGTGTGTGCGCGGTTGTGTGAGCGGCTGTGTGAGCGGCTGTGTGAGCGGCTGTGTGAGCGGCTGTGTGTGCGGCTGTGTGTGCGGCTGTGTGTGAGCGGCTGTGTGTGCGGGTGTGTGTGTGCGGCTGTGTGTGAGCGGCTGTGCGTGTGCGGGTGTGTGTGTGCGGCTGTGTGTGAGCGGCTGTGTGTGAGCGGCTGTGCGTGTGCGGGTGTGCGTGAGCGGCTGTGTGAGCGGCTGTGTGTGTGCGGCTGTGTGTGCGGCTGTGTGTGCGGGTGTGTGTGAGCGGCTGTGTGAGCGGCTGTCTGTGAGCGGCTGTGTGTGAGCGGCTGTGTGTGCGGGTGTGTGTACGGCTGTGTGTGAGCGGCTGTGTGTGCGGGTGTGTGTGAGCAGCTGTGTGTGCGCGGTTGTGTGAGCGGCTGTGTGAGCGGCTGTGTGAGCGGCTGTGTGAGCGGCTGTGTGTGCGGGTGTGTGTACGGCTGTGTGTGAGCGGCTGTGTGTGCGGGTGTGTGTGAGCAGCTGTGTGTGCGCGGTTGTGTGAGCGGCTGTGTGAGCGGCTGTGCATGTGCGTGGCTGTGTGTGAGCGGCTGTGGGTGCTGCTGTGTGTGCAGCTGTTTGCTCCCTGGCTGTGTGTCCGCAGCTGTGTGTGCGCCACTGCCCGTATACGGTGGTCTGTACACCGCTGCTTGATTGGCTGTCTGTCCGCAGCCGTGTGTCCGTGGCTGTGTGCGCGGCTGCGTGTGCAGCTGTGCGTGCGCCGCTGTCCTATGCGGTGGTCTGTCCGGGCTGCGCGTGCGTGGCTGTCTGTCCGTGGCCCGGGGCTGGTCCTTGCTCCCGCGGGCCACACGGTGGGAGG